GCTGCCCTGAAGTTTCCTTTGCCAGCACATCTATTAGATCCCTCTGTCACACAGGATTTCTCCCCCATGCACTGGGGAAAGGAGAGCAGTTCATTACTGGGCTGCCACAGAAGGGAATGAACTCAGGGAGATGCCACCAGGCTGTGAAGTGAAACTGGTGTAACTGATGGCTCCAAAATCTGGTTCCTTATCACCTATTGCCTTTTCTTGCTGACTGGCTGCTTGCAGCAGCGCTGTTGGATAATGACAAAGTAAGTTCTGATTCCCTGCGATGTTAGGCCTTTATGCATTTCCTATTTGCATGCACATTGTGATGTCCAGTAAGGACAGGAGATAAAACCAGCAGTAGCTGGTGTAGGGGTAAGGAGATAGTTACGTAAAGTGCTCTGACCTGGTGGCCATGGTACTGCAGATCCCCCGCAGAGGAGAGCTGAGATCTTGAGAGGCTTCAAAGCTAATTTGACAGATTGCTGTTTCGTAGCTTTGAATCGAAACTCTTCAGAAGAAGTAGGAAGAAAAGCTTAGGAGAACCAGGAAGACAGCCCCTTTTCTTTGTCAGATGCCACATTCACTCCACAGGCTCCGATCCCCAGCCCCTGTAGTTTAGCAGAAGCTCAGGAGGGCTTCACATCGTGCTTGCAGTCCCAGCAGGGACAGGTCCCCCTGTGCTGCAGTGATGGAACGGGAGCCTCCGCGCCTGCCTCTGCTCTCGCTGCACTGCCAAGGTGAAATGGGCCCACTGGGGCTTCTCAGTTCAGCTCTGCTGACCTGGATTTGAACTGCTGAGCTGTGACACAGCCCGCACCAATCCTGCCCGGGCAGTCCCAGGGGCAGCAGCCGTCGGGTTCGCCTCTGCCTCAAGGGGTTAAAGCTGCTGGCGGCAGGAATGGGAACTCAGGCGTTCCGGGGCTGCAAGGAATGACACAGGCTTTGGGCTGGAAGAGACCTACAAGGCGATGCAGGCAGTGTCCTGGGGCAGGAGGCTGCTTCTGGAAGGGCATTTGGGAATTGATTTGTCTCATAGGGATTGGGTTTCCCTCCTTTTCCCCGCTGGAGCTGGCGGTGGCAAGGCTGAGGTTAAGGCACCCCAAAGCCTTGAGTCACGTTTTCAGGCCAGTGGCTCTCTTCTGGGCCAGCAGAACTCCTTCCCTTCCCAGAAAGCTGCTTCACACGCCTCCAGCCCGCGGGCTTCTCTCCCAGGCGAGCTTCCCATTGTGCAGTGCTCATGGGCAAGGTGGAAACTCAGAGCCTCCCTCTGCTCACCCAGGCTGCGGCCTCTGCCACCACCATGGGGGGGGCCTTGAGGAGGCAAAGAGCCTCCTTTGATTCCAGTTGAAAAATCACAGCCAGATGGTCCATCATGGGCTTCGGCAGCCAAAGGAGCGGAGATGCTTCAGGTTCAAGGGCTTCCCGCTGCGCAGCGCACGCAGCGAGGCGGCTGTGCGGGAGCTGCTTGCTTCTCTCTTTGGTTCTGCTGGTAATGAGGGATTGATTTTCATTGCTGGGGGTTGAGGTTGGCAGGACCCGCTCTGTCTGCAGCAAAAAGAGGGGCAGATACGGGTCTTGGAGCTGAGCCCTGGTAAGTGACAAGAGATGCACCCCCCAGACCTGCCCATGGGGTTGCTCCTGCAGTTCCTTTCAGGTTTGCTGTGTTATGTGGGGATGTATCCCACTGGGATTAGGGGGAGAGCTCGGTGAGTGACCTTGGAGGAGCCACAAAGCCGATGCCAGCCTCACAGCATCATTGTTGGAGCATCTTAACACCAGCATGCAGTGGGAGGCTGTGGCTGCTCCCTTGGGTGGTGTGGTTCACCTTTAGCACGTGTGAGGACCCAAGGACTGGTGGCTGATATAAAACTGCTTGAGGACAGGCAGGAATGCTGCAGCATCCAGCCAGCCTGTGCTCTGGTTTGGGGCAGCTCAGGGTGGAGGAGCTGGGTGATGTGATGGAGCTGGAGACACCTGTGATGGAGAGAAGCAGCTGCCTGGGGCATTGAGCACCTGTGGGCACTGCACCCTGCTGCCTGCGATGGGATGTTGGTCAAGGAGCATCTCCTTTGTGCTGGGGCATGTCCAACCCCACCATGGCATCCTGGTGAGCAGGACCCTGCCCTGAGCCAGCGTAGGTGCTGTGTGACCCTGCGGGGTGCAGACCAGAGCTGGGCTGACTGCAAGGCATGGGGTTTGCCCTCCTGACCCTGAAGGCCCTGAATAGCTTCAGATTCAGGCCCAGTCTGTGCGTCTGGCATATTTCTGGCTCACTCGTCGCGCTGGTATCCAGACACGAGCCCAAAATAGCTGCAGCTCCGTTGTGCCTGCTGCAAGTCTGTGGCTAAAACCCTTGAGGGGCTCATGGTGCTGGGGGGAGAAAGGGCCCTGCTGGCTCCAAGCCTGGCCCTGGCAGGAGCAGGCACTGCGGCTGAGGGGCAGGGGGGATGCTCCTCATGCAGACCCCCCCCAGCTCAGCTGCCTGCTCCCCCCACACTCCCTGCCACAGCCAGAGGCTCCCTTGCCCATCCTGCAGCACTTCTAGTGAGGCTGCAGCCGGGGGGGACAGGGCGAGCAGATGACAGTGATTGCTTTAATAAGATGGGCTTGACCCTTCTGGAACCAGTAGAGAGGCTCCTGTCTGGGGCTGGGTTTGCCCCTGAGGGAGGCAGCACCCCCAAGGTGCTCCCGAGCACCCCAAGTGGGGCAGAGCCAGCAGTGAGTGTCCTCATCCTCCTCACCCAGCACCCTGCATTGTGTGCACGGGCCCTGGTGCCCAGCATCTTGCCATAAGGAATGATGGAGGAGAACATTCCCATCGCCAGCAGTGCTCAAGGCCAGGTTGGACACGGGCTTGGAGCAGCCTGCTCTAGTGGGAGGTGTCCCTGCTTGTTAAAATGGGATGAGCTTTAAGGTCCCTTCAACCCAAACCATTCCACGGTTCTATGGTAAGGTGCTGAACAAGTGTTTTCATGCTCCCTGTGTAGGGGTGCTCTGCAGGGCCACCCCTTGCCAGTGGCTTGGTGACAGCGTGTGTTGTCCTGCATCCCACCCCGTGTCCCTGGCTGGCAGAGAAAGGATTCTGCAGGGAAGTGACCCTCCGTGGGCATGGGGATGCTGGGCTGAGGGTGCTGGTAGCAACGCTCTTGTGGTGCCCCCCACCTGCCACCCTTTTTGCCATCAGAGGACCTCAGGCTCGAAGCTGGGGCTCGCGGGGACCCGAGTGGCCCTGGAGCATCTCAGGGATGAGCGAGCATCTCCTGCGCCGGCCGGGCATGGGCTGGGCTGGGGGAGCCCTCTCGTGGTGGCTGCGCTGAGCGGTCCGGGAGTGCGGGCTCTGCCAGCGCAGCCTCCCCCAGGGATCACGCTCCATCCTCACGGGCCCTTCGGGGAGCTGGGGACCCATCCCCGGGTCCCCGTCTGCCAGGGGTTGCTCACCCCACTGCAGAGCCAGCCTGAGGGTGGCCCTGGGAGGGGACAGGGACCTGCCCCCGTGGCCCTGCAATGGGGCAGTGAGCAGCTTGTGTGTCCCGGAGGTGGGCAAGGGACCAGTCCCATGCTGGGACAGCGAGGGGTGCCCATGGTGGGGCAGGGATGGAGCAGTGTCCTCATGCTGAGCCCTGACATAGGGCTGAGCATCTCTGTGGCGGGATGTGGGACAGGGTCCCCAGCCGGGTGAGAGCTTGGAGGGAGGGAGCTTGGTGGCACTCAACCATGTGCCATTGGGTCCGTAAGATGGGACCCTGACTCTTGATGTTATGGTTGGGATGGAGCCATCCCTTGCGGATGGGCCAGGGTGGGGTGTATGGGGTATTGGTGGGATGAAGCGGAGGGGACCACGTCCCGGAGCATCCTCCTGAGGAGATGTGTGGGGGCTCAGCCCCCCCCGGCCCCATCCCTCCCGCTCACGACGCCGGTGCCAAGCACAACCCCATCCTTTTCCAACCCTTTATTGTAAATAAGTTGTGGCATCGCAGGAGGCTGCCGGGGCCGGGGCCGGAGCCGGGCACCGCGTTGGGAACACGCGGCGGCTCCGGCTCCGCAGCACGTGCAAAGCAGGAGCTCGGGATGGGATGTGGGGGCTGGGGGGGGGGTGGTGGTGTCACCACCCCGCTGTGCGTGGCCCCTGCTGGGAATGTGGGGCTGGGGGGGGGGGTTTGATCTCTTGGCTCTGGAAGCACCGGGTGAAGCCCCTGTCCGAGCCGCTGGCACCTCCGCGGTGGCACCGCTCGACCTCACAGCGTTAAAATCGTTAAGAACCCCCCATATATATATATATATATGTGTGTGTGTGTGTGTATTAATGTCCCCAAACCCAGTGAGAACTGAAATAGAGGCGTCCCCTCGCCACGGGGACCACCCTGGCACGGTGGCCGTGACAGTGGGGACATTGTGGTGACAGTGATGGAGATGGGGGTTGCTTCAGTTTCCCCCTCCCTGTGCCTGTGTCCCTGTGTCCCCAAAGCCCATCCCACGAGGAGCTACCATTCTGTCCCACTGCCAGCACCCTGCCGTGGCAGTGCCCTGTCCTCTATCTTCTGCCACCGCAGCCAAGGCACCCATGGGTGCTGAGTGGGGCTGTCACACAGCACAGGGACCACCGTGTGCATCGACCATGGCTGGGCTTGGGGACACCCTTGGTCACCCTCTGCCTTAGTGGCAAGGGGCCCTATGGTGGGCAGGGACACTGGCCAAGGGAGCACACAGGGGGCACCCCCACTGCTATGGGCATGGGGTGTTGTCCCCCATTATCCCCTTCCTGAGTGCCACCAGCCGTGTCCCCATACACACACACTCATTGTCCCTAGAGGTGTCCCCCCATGCTGAGCATCACCAGGGCTTGAAGGGACCAGTGTGGGCCCCCGGTGCTCTGTGGTGCTGTGGCTTGGGTGGCCCTCCAGAGCCACCCCATGCAGGGTGACGTGTGCCATGGGGATGGGGTGACGCATCCCACCCCCCTCCCAGGGGGTCAGGGACACCCAGCAGGTGCTGTGCAACCGCCTGCCATGGGGCAGAGGGGGGGCATGTGCCACCCACCAAGGACCCCCGTGTGCCACCAGCCTGGGGCTCACCCTATAATCCAGGACCCCCCTCTGCTGTCACTGCCCCTCCCTCCAGCCCCAGTGCCACCAGTTTGGGGTTCATCTGCCTGAGCTGGGGACATGGAGGGGGGTCCCTGCCATAGAGGGATGCTTGTCCCCACTGCGGGGGACATCGGGGTTTCAATGGCTGGGTGGGTGCAGCCATGACATTGGGGGGGACAAATCCCCACATGGGGACACACACACACATCTGGGGGTGCAGTCCTTGCCCCCACAGACCCAGACCTGGCATCTGGGCTGGGGGGACACAACTTCCAGGCCTGGATACATTGGTACTGGGGGGCACTGGGCCTGTCCTTTGGGGGGCCCGGGAAGCTGCTGATGGGGGGCAGAGGAGGGAATGTGGGGCGGGGGGGGGGGGTGTGTGTCCCTGGTTGCCCCTGCAGGTACATTCATCCCGGTGCCACCAGCCCGGGGGGGGGGGGGGCCGGTACATTCGTGGCGGTGCGGTGGGGGTCGGGGGGGGTGGTCCCGGGTGTCCCCCCCCCCGCTCTCCTCCACGGACTCCCCGTTTAATTGCTGTTAATGAGGCGCTGGGCGGGGGGGGGGGGGGGAGCGGGGCAGAGCCGCTCTGCTCAGGCCCCCCCGGACCTGCAACACAGAAGTGGGGGTGCGTTTAGTGCGGGGCTGTGACATGGGGGGGACACATGGGGGGGGGACACTGAGCTGAAAAGAGCCAGCAACTGGGGGGGGGGGGTGGGGTGGCTGCTGCCAGTGTGTGACCCCCCCCCCCTTCCCTCCTTCAACCCCTGTCTCTTTTCAGCTGCGGGGGGCACAGAGATGGAGACAGCACGGCCGGACACACAGCGACACGGACAGACGGGCCCGGCCGGGGGGGGCTCCCACGCCGTCAGGAGACGGTGACAGTGACGGTGACGAGGAGGAGACGAGGGGGGGGCACGGTTACACTCCCTGCTGCGCCGGGTCGTACCTTCCGCGGCGGATGTTCCTTGGGGGGCGGCGGGGGGGAGAGGAGAGGAGAGGAGAGGAGAGGAGAGGAGAGGAGAGGAGAGGAGAGGAGAGGAGCGTTAGTGCCAGCCCTGGGTGTGCGGGTGGCCGTGTCCCGTCCCCCCCCAACCAGGGTCCCAGGTCCCACAGGCAGCAGACGTGTGCAGGCAGGAGAACAGGCATGGGGGCAGCAGCGCCATGGGTGACACCGGCACCCCCCCAGTGCCACATGCGGGCAGGGGCAGGGGACCAGGCAGGGACAGGGAGGTGAGGGAGCCCCCAGGGACCCACGCTGTGGGTGATGCCCAGCTCGGGGGTGTCCCCAGGACGCGGTGGCAGCGCGCAGGAGGGATGTGGCCGGTGAGGGCCGCGGAGGGGACGAGCCATGCGGCGGCTGCTTACTTAAATCCCCAGCCTGTCCCCCCTAGGACGATGGCAGCCACCAGCACGGCCCCCGCGATGGAGCCGATAATGATATTGGTGCCACTGGGACCTGTGACAGGGAGGAGGGGACAGGGACACGCATCAGTGGGGAGACAGCCCCAGTGATGGGGGGGGGGGGGGCTGGGATGGGGCAGAACCCAGTTGTGCCCAGCTGAGCTGCAGCACCAGGGTGAGGGAGACCCCTTGGGCCCCCGGGGAACGGGGGGGGGTGTCTGGGGTCACAGCGGGACGTGGGGAGCCCACCATGGGGCACACGGACCCTTGTAGCGCTCCGTCTCCCCCGTCGGCTTCGGCTCGGGGATGGGGTCGTAGACGCTGCAGTCCTTCCCCGTCCACTCCGCCCGGCAGATGCACTTGCCCTCATTGCTGCAGACCTGCGAGGGGACGGCGTCACCCCCCCCCCCCGGCCCCACCGCCTTGTGACACCCCCCGAGGGGGGGGTCCCCTTCATTCCCCCCCCCCCCCCGTGTCCCTCACCCCGTGGTCGTAGCAGATCTTCCCATCCCAGCTCCCGGGGCAGGAGCTGAAGTTAAAGGCTGTGGCTGGAAGGCATTTGCGGTCGAGACACAGCATCCCGGGCCCGCACGGGGTCCCGTCCTCCACGTAGCTCAGGTCCGAGCCGTCCACCAGCTGCACGTGGCCCCCCCTGCGCCGGCACGGGGGGAGCCGCTGACCCGGGGGGGCTCCCTCCCTTCCATGGGGGCACCCCGCGGCCATGGGGGCTCCCTCCCGTCTATGGGGGCTCCCTCCCTGCCATGGGGGCTCCCTCCTGGCCATGGGGGCTCCCTCCCGTCCATGGGGGCTCCGTCCCGGCCACTGGGGCTCCGTCCCGTCCATGGGGGCTCCCTCCCTTCCATGGGGGCACCCCGCGGCCATGGGGGCTCCGTCCCGGCCACTGGGGCTCCATCCCCGCCATGGGGGCTCCCTCCCGTCCATGGGGGCTCCCTCCCGTCCATGGGGGCTCCGTCCCGGCCACTGGGGCTCCGTCCCGTCCATGGGGGCTCCCTCCCTTCCATGGGGGCACCCCGCGGCCATGGGGGCTCCGTCCCGGCCACTGGGGCTCCATCCCCGCCATGGGGGCTCCCTCCCGTCCATGGGGGCTCCCTCCCGTCCATGGGGGCTCCCTCCCCGCCATGGGGGCTCCCTCCTGGCCATGGGGGCTCTGTCCCATCCATGGGGGCTCTGTCCCCGCCATGGGGGCTCCCTACCAGCCATGGGAGCTCCCTCCCCGCCATGGGGGCCCCCTCCCTGCCATGGGGGCTCCCTCCCCACCATGGGGGCTCCCTCCCTGCCATGGGGGCTCCCTCCCGTCCATGGGGGCTCCCTCCCAGCCATGGGGGCTCCGTCCCCACCATGGGGGCTCCCTCCCATCCATGAGGGCCCCCTCCCCGCCATGGGGGCTCGCTCCCAGCCATGGGGACTCGCTCCCGGCCAGGGGGGCTCCCTCCCTGCCATCGGGGCTCCCTCCCCGCCATGGGGGCTCTGTCCCCGCCATGGGGACACCCACCTGCAGTCCACGTAGCGGTTCTGGTGGAAGAAGGTGGTGGTGGCGACCTCTCCGCTGAGCTCCCCGAGCCGGGGGGGCCCCGAGATGTTGGCGCAGAGCAGGAAGCCGCAGAGCACGTCCCTGCCAGGCCCCCACCGTGTCAGCGGCCGGGGGGGGGCACCCGGGAGGGGACACGGGGCCGGAGGGGGTCACTCACTGCTTGTTGCACTGCAGCCAGCCCAGGCCCTCGCGCCCGCAGTTGCCCCTCTCGGTCCCCTCCACGTTGAGCTTCTCATAGCAGAAGCGCTCGGCTGAGCCTGGGGGAAGGGGGTGTCACCTGCCTGCCCCCCCCCCCCCCGTTTCCACCGTGGCAAAGCCCCCCCCCCCACCGGGGCTGACACTCACCGCGGCCCCACAGCGCGTTGCACTGCCGGTCTCTGGTCTTGCAGCGCCCGCCATAGCATCGCCCCTGCGGACATGGCCATGGAGGTGGTGCAAGGACAAGGACCCCCCCCCCCCAGTGCCAGGCACAGGGACCGGGAGCCGCGTGTGTGCAGGGGAGGGTGTTTGAGGTGCAGGGAGGGTTTGCCCATCCCATCACTGTGGGTGCGCACGTAGGAATGGGCTGCGGCTCCTGGAATACTGCTGGGATTCGGGATCCAGTGAGGGTTCACCCACCCTGGGGACCCTGGTACCCAAAGCCCGCATCCTGCACGTGTGTGGGGCTCAGTGCTGCTGCCATCCCCAACATGCGCCAGCACCAGGATGCTGGAGCCCACCGGGATGTTCCCAAACCCCATAGGGACCGTGGCCCCCTGCAGGGACATTGCTGAGCCCCACGGCCCTGTCCCACCAGCCTCACCTGCTCGTTCTCACAGAAGTAGCCATCCAGCTTGTGGAGGTTGGGGGGGCACTGTCGGGGGACACAGAAGAGGAGGGGTGATGCCCCACGGCCCCACGCGTGCCACCGCGCCTCCTGCTCCAGCTCACCTGGCTGGAGTCCCCGGTGCAGGTCTCGGGGATGTCGCACTCATTGACAGCCTCCCGGCAGGACACTCCGCGCGGCTCGTACTGCACCCGGGATGAAGCCACCACATCAGGAGCCCACCGGATCGGATCCATCCCTGCGGGATCCTGGATCATCCCCTTGCCCCTGCCCCTGCCCCTCACCTTGCAGCCCTTGCAGCAGAGCCCATCGCTGCACATGGCGTCGTGGGTCAGCGTGCACTTCTTGCAGCAGTTCCCCCCACTCTTGGCGCACTCCTGCCGGGACAGCCACCGGTGCGTCACACCGCGTCACGACATGTCACACCATGTCATGACATGTCACACGACGTCACATGTCACACCATGTCACGACATGTCATATCACGTCATGATATGTCACGACATGTCATACCATGTCATGACATGTCACACCACGTCACGACATGTCACACCACATCACACCACGTCACGACATGTCACACGACGTCACAACATGTCACACCACGTCACGACATGTCATATCACGTCATGATATGTCACGACATGTCACACCACGTCACGACATGTCACGACATGTCACACCATGTCGTGACATGTCACACCACGTCATGACATGTCGCACCATGTCACAACGTCATATCACGTCATGATATATCACGACATGTCATACCATGTCATGACATGTCACACCACATCACAACATGTCACAACACGTCACGACATGTCACACCATGTCACGACATGTCATGACATGTCACACCATGTCGTGACATGTCACACCACGTCACAACATGTCACACCACGTCACAACGTCATATCACGTCATGATATGTCACGACATGTCACAACATGTCACACCATGTCACGACATGTCACATCATGTCACATGTCACAACATGTCACACCACATCACAACATGTCACACCACGTCATGACATGTCACACCACATCATGACATGTCACACCATGTCACCACATGTCACACCAGGTCACAACGTGTCACACCACGTCACGACACGTCACACGACGTCACAACATGTCACACCACGTCACGACATGTCATATCACGTCATGATATGTCACGACATGTCACACCACGTCACGACATGTCACGACATGTCACACCACATCATGACATGTCACACCACGTCACGACATGTCACACCACGTCACGACATGTCACAACACGTCACAACATGTCACACCACGTCACAACACGTCACACGACGTCACCAGGTAACACCGGCAGCCCCGGCCCCGCTCACCGCCAGCGAGCCGCAGTCGCACTCCTCGCCCGCCTCCACGAAGCCATTGCCGCACTCTGGGGGGTCCAGGAGCTGCCAGGACCGAGTTGGGGGACACAACAGACACAGGAGATGCTGGGGGTGCCCCCGAGCCCCCCAAAAGGGCATCCTCTCCAGGGAATAGCAGGACCCCCAGAACATCCCCCGCTGGGGACACTGGGTTCGATGCTGCTGCTGTTACCTGGGACCCAGCAGGAGCCCTGGGGACCCCCAGGTCCGTCCCCAGGACATGGTTCCCCCCAGCATGAGGGGGTCCGGGGGGGGGCCGTTACCTTCAGGGGCTTGTTGAAGAGGCAGCTCCCGCCGCCGTCCTGCAGGAACTGGTTGTACTCATCGATGCTGCAGCGGGAGAACTTCCGCGGGAGGTAGTACCTGTGGGGCCGGGGGCAGCGTCACCCCCCAGTGCCGCCGGGGGGGCAGCACCACGCTGGGCCCCCGGAGCAGGGCAGGACCTTCGGCAATGCCCCCCCCAAGGGGCACCCACCCTGTGTCCTCCATGATGCAGCCCAGCCACGAGTCCGGACACCGGCAGTCGCCTGGAGGAGAGCAGAGGGGCTGGGGGGGGTGCTGCTGCCCTGCACCGCCTTGGTGGCACTTGGGGGTCCCCCCTCCCCATTGTCCCCATGGAGCCACCGGGGGGGGTGCCGGTACCTGCGGCCGTGCGGTGCTTGTTCCACATCATGCCCACGTTCTGCCCCAGCGTCTGCGCCAGCGTCACCGCCATGGCCGCCACGTTGCCGTACTGCACACGGGAGGGACCGGGGGGGGGGGGTGTCACCGGGATGATCCCCCCCCCCCATCCCCACCCTGCTTCCATGGGGGTCCCACTGCACCCACCTCATTGACCCCCCCGGCACGGGCGGGCGAGCAGATGCCCCCCACAAAAGCGGTGCCGCTGCGGCTGCTCTGGAAGGTCCGGCCCCTGCGAGGAAGAGGATGGTGGGCACCGGGGCCAGCGGCTCCCGGCGGCGGCGGGGATGCGGCGCTGCGGCGCTCACGAGAAGAGGTGGACGGTGTCGCTGTGCTCGGCCGGGCCCTCCCGCCGGTACTTCACGAACTCCGTCAGCGTCTCCAAGGAGTCTTCCCCCATGCGGATCCGGTCCTCCGAGGCCCACGTCTCCATGGCCACCAGCACGATGCGGGTGTTGAGCTGCTCCTTGTAGATCTGTGGGGACAAGGGGGACACACACACCAGTGCTGGGGGTGAAACCAGTCCCTGGGACAAAGCCATCAGGTGCCGAGGACCAACCCGGTGGGGACAATGCAGGGGGCATCGCCCTCAGGGACAAACCCATCAGGCACCAGGGATGAGCCCCCTGGGGATGAGCTCCTTGGGGAACAAACCCACCGGGTGATGGGGACAAACACCCTGGGGACCCCAAACCCCCCCAACCTCTGTGTGCCAGGGCTCCCCCAGGCCAGAGGGGCTCTCACCATGTCAGCCAGGTTGACCACGGACTTGGCGAAGTTGCTGGTGAGAACCACAGACTTGCGGAGCTGTAAGAACTAAGGGGGGGGGAACAGCAGGGGATAGGATGGCTGGGGGGGGGGGAAGCACCCCGACCCCACCAGCCCCACCAGCACTCACCAGCTGGTGGTCGTTCACCACGGCCAGCTCGATGTACTTGGTCTCGCTGTGGACCGTGTGCTGGGCTCGGCGGACCTGCCAGTGGGAGCCCGTGGCTGAGATCCGGCAGATCCGCCCGCCCAGCCCCGGCAATGGGGCTTCGGGATCCCTTTTGTGGCTGCCCATTGGGATGCATGGAGCGGGGAAGCCCCCTGGTATTGGCAGAGTTCCCCCCCCCCGAGCATCCCTGAGCCTGCAGCAGCGGCACCATCCTGCCAACACATCCCCAGCACCCACAGACCAGCCCGGCTGCACCCATGGCAGGGCCGTGTTGAGGCCAAGCCAGCACCCAGAGGCCAAGGACCGAGCATCCTTGTCCCCAGCCCCATGTCCCCGCTGTCCCCCCCCCAACCTGCCGCCGCCGCCGTAGCTTGGGTAACCCGCCCGCGACGCGCTGGCTCCACACGGGGAAGAGGCAGCCTGGAGGGAAGGGACAGAGCCGGTGGGACACGAGACCCGGCGCCACCAGCACCGCTCCTTGGGGACAGGCACCAGCGCCACAGGAAGGCTCACCCGGTTGGGAGCAGTTGGGGATGCGCTGGACCACGTGCGGTCGAAGGCCCTGCCATGGGGAGACGAGTGTCATGGGTCCCCCATGGGTGCCCCCAGCCTGCAGCCAGGGCCCTGATGCTGCAGTGTGGGAGCCGGAGCAGGCCCATGGCGGGTGCTGGGGCACTCACCTGCCCGTGCTCGACGCCCGCCTGGGGCTCGATCAGGAAGGTGGCTCTGCCGTCCGAGAAGACCCCGCTGCAAAGAGCATTGGGGGGGTAACGGGGTGCAGGGGGTGCAGCAGCCCCTGCCCCACACACCGAGGGCTGGGGAGCACTCACCTCAGGCCCTGGCAGCTGGAGAGAGCTGCGAAGGAGTGGGGCTGCCCCCGGAGCCGGCCCTGGTAGTAGCAGTGCTCCCCTGCGCCCTGCCCGAGCAGAGAGGGGGGGGCTGAGCCAGACGGACCCTGCCCTGGTCCCATCCTGCCGGTGCTGTGCGGGGTGCTGACCCCTTCACCGGCACCCCCCCTGGCTGGCGGCTCATGGGTTCACTGCCTGCCACCCTTAGGGTGTGCATGTTGCCCTGGGCATCACCCATCACCAGCACCCACTGGAGCAGCACCCCAATGCATGGGGCACCCCAGGGGCAACGGGGGGCTGCCTAAGGCCACCTGGGTAGAGATCCTGAGCTGCTGGTGGGCTCCTGATGGGTTTATGAGTGAGCCACCATGACCTCAGAACTGGCACAGAAGGGCTTGACACAGTGATAGAGCACAGCACAGCATGGCACAGGGTGATAGAGCATGGCACAGCATGGCACAGGGTGATAGCATGGCACAGGGTGATAGCATGACACAGGGTGATAGAGCACAGCACAGCATGGCACAGTGTAATAGAGCATGGCACAGGGTGATAGAGCATGGCACAGCATGGCACAGGGTGATAGAGCATGGCACAGTGTGATAGAGCATGGCACAGCATGGCACAGTGTGATAGAGCATGGCACAGCATGGCACAGGGTGATAGAGCATGGCACAGCATGACACAGTGATACAGCATGGCACAGCATGGCATGGCACAGCATGGCATGGCATGGCACAGTGTAACACGGCACGCAGCTTACCGTGCTGTGGCTGCCGTTGCTGCCCGCCCCAACGTGCCGCTCCACGTAGCGGGAGGCGAGGAGGTGGCTGCCGGGAGCAGGAAGGGGGTGAGAGGCCGAGGCGGTGGGGAGGAAGAGGAGGAAGAGGAGGAAGAGGCTGAGGGGACAGAGACAGCAGCAGCAGGGCCCTGCCTGCAGCACCCTCATCGCTCACCCACCCCCCATACACGTGGCACCACACCGGTGCGGGACCCCCAGAGGTTGGGAGGGTGCTGGCACCCCCGGATCCCTCTCCCCCCCCCGGCTCAGCAGCCAGGTGCCCCCCACCCCACTGGGACCCCCGGGGCTGCTCACTGGTTCAGCTGGAGGTCGAGGGTGAAGGCTGAGCCGAAGGCACGCACCACGAAGCTCACCCGCGCCAGATGCAGCCCCTGCGAGAGAGATGGAGCCGTCACCCCCCCACAATTAAACCACCATCAACCCCCAGACCCGCAGCCTGTAAAGGGGCGCTTTTACTTTTAACCCCCCCCAACCCAACATAAAGGAAAACGTTGCAGTTTTGCCCCCCAAATCATCCCTCCTGCAGCGCAGGGAGGGCACCCGCGCCCCACCGCCACCTCCTCGGTGCATCCTGGAGCATCCCCGCACCGCTTCGTCCGCCCTGCGGTCCCGTCATTCCTGACCTAATTCCTGCCGGCAGCACCAGGGCTGCGCTCTGCGGCGCCCGCCCGAGACCCGGCAAACTCGGCGCAGGGGTGAGGGTCCGCCACCGGCAGCGCATCCCTCGGGAACGCCGGTACCGAGGGGAAATGGCGGCCAAGGAGAACCCAAACCGTTCCCGGGGAGCCCCCTCCCCTCGCTGGGGGCGGTGACACGGGCACAAGGACACATTCGCCGCCGCACAGCACCGCAGGGAGCGGGGGGGGATGTCCCAAGCCAAGACCGTGCCCATGCGGTCGGGCAGGAGGCCACAGGGGCTCCCCAGGGAGCCGGCCCCGGGGGTCCCCACAACCCCGCTCCAACGCCTCCTCCGGTGCCGCCGGTGGCGTCCTCCCGGCGTCCGGTGGCTTCCCTCAACTCCGGGTTTAAAGCGCGACTGCGGCGGCGGCTCCTCAAGGTTCCCCCTTTTATCCGGCAGGGATGCGGGGATCGATGCGCGCCGCCGCCGCCTTGAGAGCACCGAACCCGATGGGCTCCGATGGGAGGCGGGTGCCGGCACCGAAACACCGACAGCACCGGGGGGGGGGCACCGGCCGCAGCAAGCCCGGGGCGGGGGGGAACGGCTGCGGTTGGGGGTCAGCACCGGGTGGCCTCGCTCGTCCTTCCCGGACCCATGAGCCCGTTCACGCTGCAGGATTCCTGCCCGCTCCCATTTCATCTCTCCCAGTGCCCGCACGCGCCGGTATCCAGGTTTAATGGGATTTCATGGCACACATCCGTGCAGGGGTAGGGGAAGGCAGTGGTGCGGAGTCCAAGGGGACGAAGGCTCCGGTTTCGGATGCTGGGGCCCATGCACATGCTGGGGTGCAGCCGGGTTGGTGACAGCAGCTCCCCGGGGACCTGCCCACCCAGCCGGGGACCCCAGAGGGAGCGGATGGAGGGGGGTTGTGGTTCACTTACAGGGCCTCCTCCTCCTCCTCCAGGCTCATTCCTGACCCTGGTGTCCAGCTGGTGCCTCTGGACCTCCCCTCCCGAGCTGTGCCCCACCAGCCTGCTGGGGTGGGTGATCTGGGAGGCGACCCTCCCGTCCTGCCATCCGGACCGGGGGAGCCTCCGCTGCAGCGAGGGGGCCTGCGCGGCGGGACCTGCGGCCAGGGGACACGTTGGGGTGGCCCCAGGGAGGGCTGGGGGCACCGCTGAGGGCTGGGGACAGGGAGGGCTGGGGATGAGGAGGGATGGGACGGGGTCAGGGGGTGACCCAAGGCTGGCACTGCATCCCAAAAGGGACGCCCATATCCTGGTGGGATGCTCAGGGGACATAGAGGGGGTCGTGGGGACATGTCCCAGGCTGGAGGGTGTGTGTGGGGGCACTCAGGTATGGGCGCATCCCAGAAGGATGGGCTGGGGGGGTGCCCAGGAGAGTGGGGGACCAATTATGGGCACACATCTGGGAGGAGAAGCTCAGGGAGCCTCAGATGTCCTGGAGGGGACACCCAGGGGGCACGGGTGGCTGCTGAAGTGACACAGAGCAAGCAGGGATTTGGGGGGGGGGAGGGGGGCAGGGACCCATTGCACCTGGAGGAAGGTGGGGTCAGGGCACAGCAGCACATCCTGGAGGGGACGTCCAGGGGACAGGGAGGGCCGGGATGGGGACACCTCTGAAGGTGTTCAGGTGTCCATAGGGACACATCCCAGGGGGAGATGGAGGCTGGTGGGGCGACACTTCATGCAGGGGACACGGGGGGGACTTGTGGGGGGACATCTCCTGAGGGGATGTGGAGGGCCTCGATGGAGGCACCCCGCAGAGGGGACACTGAAGGGACGGGAGGGCTGGTGCAGGGACACCTCCATAGGGGACACCAAGGGGACACCAGAGATCTGCTATGGGGGCACATCCCAAGGGGACACCGAGAGCCGCTATGGGGACATCTGCTGAGGGGCGGGCACCCGGGGGACAGGGAAGCCGCTGTGGGGACACGGGGTCTGCTCTGGGGACACCTCCGGCGGGGGCGGCGATGGGGACAGCTCCGCAGGGGACACGGGGCCGGCTCGGGGACACGTCCCGGCTCGGGGGACAAGCGGAGGCCCGGCAGCGGGGTCCGGGGTTGCAGGTGCGGGGCCGGTGGCTGCGGGAGCCGGGGCGGGGGGGGGGGGGGGGTTCGGGCCCGGCCCCTCCCGGGGCGCTGCGGGGCGGCGCTGCGGAAAAATGTGTCGATGCAGCGAAAAAACCGCATCGGCGGCGGCGGGGCCGGGACCGGGGCTGGGACCGGAGCGATGCCGAGGCCGGAGGGAGGATGCCGGATGCGGGGACCGGGACCTACCTGCCCGCGGGGCGACCGAGAGGAGCAGGGCGAGCAGCCAGCCCCGCAGCGGGCTCATGGCTCCTTCATAATCCGAGCGCGGCCGCACCGGGCCCGCGGAGCCGGGGACCGTCCCGCCCGTCCCCCCGCCCCGGGCCGGGCAGGGAGCGGCCACCGGGCCCGGGAGCACCGCCCCTGCCCCCCCCCCAGCCCCCCCCCCCCCCCCCCCCAAACCTCCCTCCCTGCACGCGCACACGGCACCGGGCCCGGCACCGGCCGCCGGCAGCGGCACCGGCAGCGCCCGCCCCGGGCCCGCCCCGCCCCGCCCGGTTCCGGCCCTCCCCTCCCCCCCCCCCCCCCCCCAGCCCCGGCTGCCGCAGCGCCCCTGGCACCCCCCCGGCTTTGCAGCACCGGAGCCCCGGCCGGGGTCACCCCCCCCCCCCCCCCCGTGTTCGTGCCCCCAGCATCCAGCCCCCCGCCGGGACTGGAGCGCAGCAGCCGGTACCCGACCCCCCCCAGTGCAGCACAGCACCACGGGTACCGGGTACCCCCAGTCAATGCTGGACCCCCCCCCCCTCCCGTACATCATGCACCAGCACAGGACCTTGCGTCGCCCCCCCCTCCCCAAGCCCCCAGCTGGTTCATGGCTCTATAAGCGGTCCCTGGCACTGGAGCCCCCACCCGGGTCCAGGGTCCCCCTGCAGCACTGGAGCCCTTCCAGGAACTGGAGCTTCCACCCCGGTACCAGGCCCCCAATTGGTAACTGAGTCCCCAGCCAGCACCAAGACCCCCAGCCCTTTGCAGAGCCCCCCCAGTGGGACTGAAGCCCCCACCGAGTACCGAGCCCCCCCCCCCCCCCGCTGGTGTGGAGACCCTCAGTGGCCCTGGGTCCCCAACTGGTGCCAGTGTTGGCTGTGGGACCCATGGGTCCTGGGGCAGGATGCTGAACTGTGGGTGCTGGCACACATTGCTGGTCAATGCTGGACCATCACCCATGGGGGGGTGCTGTCACCCAGAAGGTGTTGTCGGGTCGCCCCCGGCCATAACCCTCAGGAAATACCAGAACAAGGACCCCTCCTCTTGGGTTGCCCTCATTTTGAGGGGATGCTGCAAGGCCACGTTCCACACCTGAGGGTAACAGAACAATCTGGGGGCAAGAAAAGCCCCAATCAACTCCTGTTTACTGCAGCTGTGGGATGGAGGGGGTTACAGCACCACGGGAGGGTGATGCTCAGCCCCACTGGTGACCAAAGCCATCAGCAGGCACAGGCTCCAGAGCCCCACAAAAGACAAAGCCCAAGTCCTAGGCTGCTTTTAGGTACCCCAAAACCTCCTCTTGGCAAGAGGAGCCAGCCCTGCTCTGAGGTCAAGAGCCTCCTCCCAGCTGCTCTCCAGTTTCTCCCCATTGCTCTTTACTGGGAGCCATTCCACACACGGATACCCCTGTGCTGGGTACAAGAGCTTCCCCGAGCCTGCTGGGCACATGGCCCAGGGTACACCACGGATGGGGGATGCTACAGGACCAGAGCCAGTGCTGGTCCACACCTGATGGCCACTGTCCCCCACATGTCCTTTCCAGCATCACCCAGCCTCTGGTGCTGGGCACTGAGGTAGCCGTGCTTGGGCCACCAGGTAAGTTTGACCCCATGGAGCAGAGCAAGAGCTCAGCTGCTGTTTTATTTCAAAGGTTAAAAGTCTGCTAGAAAAACAGAAATCCCCACGGAATTCAGTACCAGTTACAGAGATGCACCAACACCCCAGAGCCCGGCAAGAACTCGTCTCACCCCCACGGCCCTCTTGTCCTCTGTTTGCACCTCCAAGGACCAGATGAGAGGAAGAACAGGACCTGCCCTCAATCTGGAAGGGCAAAGACCATGTGCCTGATGAAGAGATACTTTCAGAGAAGACCAGCTTGAAGCTGCCCATTGAAACCATCACATCACCCATCAGTTCCCACCTGAAGAGCTGCCCAGGCTGTGGTGCCTGGAGACCACCTCACTCTGATGGTCCTTGCTCCGGCTCACAGCAGTACCTCCTGATCCTTGTTAAATCCCTTTCCAGCCACTTTCCAGCTCCCACCAAGGGTGCAGAGACCAGCCAGGAGGTGGTTTTAGCTGGTCCAGCTGCCAAAACAGGTCTCAAATATGGGGAAAGAGCCCCCCTTGGTCTCAGCGCTGCAGTTCCGGCAGTTCTTGTCCTCTTTGCCTGCCCAGGCAAGCTCTGACTTCTGCTTCAGGACTGAGCAGAGCTGAGACCCATACCCACTGTCCCTCACATTGACATGAGCCCTCTGGAGCAAATCCCGGTCCGCAGGGTGAATCCTGCCCCCCTGGACACCCGTTAGCGTGGAGAGCAGGGCCACACCCCAGTCTGACTGCAGAGAACTGCTGCTGAAGTCATGCTCAGCCTGAGCGTTCCATGGAGGAGGCTGAAGGAGGCCAGGGCATGGACCCTGCTCTTCGCCATGGCCCAGGAGGTCCGGTGCTCTTTTCTCTGCTGCTCTGACACCGAGTGAGCAGCAAGAGCCAGCTCTGGCCCCAAGCAGTTTTGGAGAAGGCAAGGGGCAGCTGGTCTGGCTCCTTGTGCTCTCCACATCAGGGCTGAGCACATTTCTGGGTGTGATTTCATTCTCCCCTCGGAGCTGCTCCCCTTTGGAACTCACGTTCACCCTGCTCCAGCCACCCTCACCAACAGCGCGGGCTGCAGCAGCCTCTGCGGGATCAAAACCCCCAGAGGCAGCTTCAAGGTGTGATGCAGGGTCCCCAGGGTCCCTGCACAGGCCCAGGTCCAAACCAACGGAGCTACAAGGTCTGCTGGAGAGCTCTGTGCTTAGGGGCAAGCTGCCAGCCTCCACCACACCAGGCAAGCCTGGCTCAGCCGCCTGTCCTGCACCCTGCCCACCCGTGCCCCCATCCCCTGGGCTTGTCTGCTCACATGGAGAGAGGCCACTACCACCCCACAGCTCCAGCCTGGGCTTCTTTGCCCCCTGGGTGCTCTGTCTGCAGAGCTGGCGTTTCCTGGAGGCAGGCAGTGCTTGTGGAAGGTGGCTGGCAGGCCCAAGCACTTGCTGTCCATGAGGTTCAGACGAGGAAGCCGTTGTCTCTCTGACATGAGGGTCCTCTATGCAAGCCCTCCAGCTCAGGTCAGAAGCCAAGCCCAAATCTGTATCCCCTAGCACAACCTCCTCCAGGGTGCCATGAGCAGCACAGACCCTTCTGGCGAGCCCTGCTCCAACAGAGCAGGTCTTGAGCTCCCCTCCTTCACTGGGGTTACTGAGCCTGTCCCTGGGCAGACAAGGAGAACCTCCCTTGGTCTTCAGGCTGTGATCATGCTCCGTATCAATGAACAGCTCCTGCTCAGGCTGCTCCCTTTCCTTTCCCAGCTCTGCTGTCAGCATCTCCATTTCTCCAGTAACTTGTGCTTGAGGCACTAAGCGTTCATCTGTCAGGCAGGACCGAAGCACCCTGAGAAGAACCATCAGTTAATGCTCACTCTCCCTAGGCCTAGAACACCCTCCCCTGGGGAGAGGAGGCTTTTTCTGCATTGCAGCATGTTGGAAGCCCTCGCTCAGGAGGCACTAAGAAATCATAGCCTGGTGAGGCTCAGCAGTGACACTGCTGCTGGCAGAGATGGGCAGCACAAGGGGGCTCTCAGCCTTCTCACCACTCCAGGGGCTGGGCACAGGAGTGCTACAGAGCAGTGGGGTTTGCATCTGACACAGGGACAGAAGAAATGGGGTCAGCTGCCCTTGCTAGTTTAAAAGGCACTAGAAGGCCATGGGAGCTCCCTGAAGCCACAGGGTATCTCCCATGGCTCACCCAAACTCGGCCTGGCAGGTGCCAGGCTGGTCCCTGCAGTCAGCAACCACTCTCCCTGGTGGCTGATTCCCTAGTGGCTGATTCCCTGGCACAGGACATGAGTTAGGGACCAGTTCCACAGCAGCATGGAGGCTCAGGCCCCGTTCCTGTGAGCGTGCCAAGCTGCATCACGCTGCCTTCCAGCTCCAGAGTTCCCAGATTCATACAGACTTACTTGGCTGAGTGCTCCACAAAGCTGCAGCTGAGCTGCGCGATGACACGGTCCACTGGGGTGTACTGCGAGGGGTCCAGAGCAAAGCGCTTGTGCTGGGGGCTCTGGAGATGCTGGAAGGTAGAAGAGACCCTTAGCCATTTCCAGGAGAGAAACGTGCTGTAACAGCCACTTCAAGCAGCCTTTCCACCAGATAGAGCCATTTGGAAGCAAATTTGGGAAACCCAGGCAATGCTATTACCCCTGCTTGCTTACTGGGAGTATTCTGTTCCCCCATAGACACCTGGTGATGAGGAGGTTGTGTCTGTGTCTAACAGCAGCCTATAGCTTTCCCCAGCAGCTAGTGCAAATGCAGGCTCCGAGTATGTACTATTACCAAAGGCTGGGCTCTGAAAGCCACATTGTTTGGCACCTTCCAGGAGATAAAAAAAACCCTCTTCCCACCTTTTCAACCAGCCCATGCCCCCTGACTGCCATGGAATAGGGTTCCCACCTTACAGGTGAGGCAATGGGATGGTCCTTGAGACTCTCCTCCTCATGCGTGCTACAATACTCCCACTGTTTGCCCAGAGCAGGAGGTCAGAGCACAGATATACTATGGCTTTCATCTGTAAGGCTGATCCTCCTAGATCAGCCATAAGGGCTGTGCATACAGCAGCCTGTCTTCCTTCCAAAAGGGATCGTGGTGATAATGGACATGACACAATTCATGAAGCTGCTGAGTGGGCCCCTTAACTTTGTCAGGGAACCAGGTCCCAGGGGAACCTTTACCTTCTGTAGCTCCTCAAAGGTCTCTTGGCAGCACTCACAGAATCCCCTCTTTTTCTTTGGCACAGTGACTGGTGTGGACTGGGGGCTCTTCTCCCCCTTGCTGCCTATTGGACAGCCTTCCACAGCCCTGCAAGGTAACAGCAAAGATCTTCCCTGCCCTCACTGACAGCCTCAGCAGGCACCCAATACTGCCTCTGAGCTACAGCTCGAGCCACAGCTTCCAGCCACCAGGAACAGGGCTCCTTTTGTCCACATCCAGAAGGTAAGTGGGTCTCCGGATGCCAGGAACCAGCAGGGCAGCAGTCACCAGGAGAGCTGGGTTAAAAACTAGCACAAAAGGAGCTACAACATACCTGGCTCTGCAAGAACTGGAGAGGCTTCTCAGAGGCTCAAATGGGCTGGAGCTTTTG